TTTGGGGTTTTGGGGTCCCTGGGAGGTTTTGGGGGGGGTCTCGGTGGATTTGGGGCTTCAAGGGGGTTCTGGGGGGGTCCCTGGGGGTCTCTGGGGGTTTTTGGGGGGTTTTTTGGGGTTTTTTTGGGGTTTTTTTGGGTTTTTGGGGTTTTTTATCCCTACTCCTTGAGGAAGAAGTGCATTTTATCAGCGATGAGCTTCCTCTCGGGGTCCAGGCGCTTGAGCAGCTGCGCCAGCGCGTTGACGGGGCTGTGCCAGGTCTGGGGGTCCCGGTGGGTTTTTTTGGGTTTTTTGGGGTTTTTTTTGGGTTTTTTTGGGTTTTTTGGGGTTTTTGGGGTTTTTTTGGGGTTTTTTGGGGTTTTTTATCCCTATTCCTTGAGGAAGAAGTGCATTTTATCAGCGATCAGCTTCCTCTCGGGGTCCAGGCGCTTGAGCAGCTGCGCCAGCGCGTTGACGGGGCTGTGAGGGGATTTGGGGGTCCCGGTGGGTTTTTAGGGGATTTTTGGGGGGGTTTTTTTGGGTTTTTTTTGGGTTTTTTGGGTTTTTGGGTCCCTACTCCTTGAGGAAGAAGTGCATTTTGTCTGCGATGAGCTTCCTCTCGGGGTCCAGGCGCTTGAGCAGCTGCGCCAGCGCGTTGACGGGGCTGTGCCGGGTCTGGGGGTCCCGGGGGGTCTCTGGGGGTTTTTGGGGGTTTTTGGGGGTTTTTTTGGGGTTTTTTTTGGGGTTTTTGGGGTTTTGGGTCCCTACTCCTTGAGGAAGAAGTGCATTTTATCAGCAATCAGCTTCCTCTCGGGGTCCAGGCACTTGAGCAGCTGCACCGGGGCTGTGAGGGGTGTGAGGGGATTTGGGGGTTCCTGGGGGTTTTTGGGGGTTTTTTGGGGTTTTTTTGGGGGTTTTTTTGGGTTTTTTGGGGTTTTGGGTCCCTACTCCTTGAGGAAGAAATGCATTTTATCAGCAATCAGCTTCCTCTCGGGGTCCAGGCGCTTGAGCAGCTGCGCCAGCGCGTTGACGGTGGCGTCGCTGCTCAGCCCCGTGCGCTTGGTCTGGAACTTCTTCAGGAGATCCTTGGTGGTCATCGGCTTCCGGGACAGGTACCGGCGCACGGCCTCCTCCGTCAGCTGCACCTCCCTGGGGTCAGAGGTCACACAGGGGTCAG